AGCTCTACTGCAAACGTTTCTGCTATAGACAATTCTCTGAGAAAGAAAAAAAAATTAAGAAAACTATTGATATTCTTCGGACACGCCTAGTTATGAAACAAAAAAACTAAAAAATATAAGAGTACAAAAAAACGTGCTAATGAAAAAGTGGAAAAGTTGTTTCAAGTGATAAAAATCTGGAAAGGCTTCCCTCACTTCAAAATAACAATAGTGCTGTAATGGTGTCTAGTTTAAACGATTTGTTGCAGCATCTCTTCAAAAGAGTGATTAATAAAAAACAGAATAAAAAATTAAACAAGAGTATGATACGCAACTAAAGACATTTGCCCTTATGCCACATGATCACAGAAGTTGCTATAAAGTAGTGCTCAACTCAATAGATAAAACCCAACTACAACACACAACGCCCTAATTGTACTAAAGAGCATTTGCCGGTTAACTCTGCTTTTGGAAAGAAAATCATATTTATCAGCTCATTTCAGTTGAGTTCAGTTGAGTGGTTTTGTTAACAAATATAAATTGTCAGATTCGAAGCTACCAAAATCCGTGGGAAATCTACCAAGAAGTCACTGTTTGGTGTGGATTTTGGTCCGTCCGGTAACAATCGCGAATATGTACAATGCTGATCAAAGCTTTTTTTTTAACTTATTGTATTACTCTATAGTATTCTTCTGCCACTAGATATATTAAAAGATATCAATGAACGATAAATATCAATTTAGTTTAATGTTAGACTGTGTAGAGAAGCCGTCAGAGTATCTAAAATAATGTAAAAACTAAACGCAGACAACATCCAAGCGCTACCTCTTTGTGTGTGAAGATAATATATATATATATATATATATATATATATATATATATATATATATATATGTATGTATATATATATACATTATATTACGCACGCCACGCACGCCACGCATGCCACGCACGACACGCGCGCCACGCACGCCACGCACGCCACGCACGCCTAGCACGCCACGCACGCCACGCGCGCCACGCACGCCACGCACGCCACGCTCGCAACGCACGCCACGCACGACACGCAAGCCACGCACGCTCCGCAGCTTCTTTATATATAAATATTTATAGCACTATTCATTGATTGTATTGTAAATTACTAAATCAGAAGGCAAACGTACACAGCCAAAAGTTATCCTCATCAGCGTTACTAAGTACAGCTAGTTTTAATTGAAAGGTACAGTGTGAATCTTGAGCTTGACATTTTTGAAGTGAAACATCTATAAAATCGTTGTGATATGACAATCTACAAACGGGAAATAAAAAGAAGTGAAAAGTTAATTAATGGGTAAAGAGCACTATAAATAATATTCTTAATGTAAAATCCGAAATAAATAAACAAACATGACGTTATTTACGTAAATGACAGACTAGTGACCGTAACATTACGTGATACCACCTATGTATTCATGTATATTATTGCATCTTACTACAATCATTACGTGATAAATTTGCAAATTTATAATTAAAAATTTCTTTAGCTCAGATGTTAAAGCTTTCGAAACAAAATTATTTCGAAAACGTTAGGCCACATGTGACCACAAACCACCAAACTATTTTTTTATCTTTATTTGTTAAATTTAAAGGAAATATTCTTTCCTTTATCAAGGTAATTACAACTTTCATTTTTCCGTTTCCTTAACCTTTTACAGACTTCTGAACGTTCAATAAAGTTAGAAGTCATTGATTTATACAAATTTGCTGGAGCGGAATCTGATTAATAAAAACCAATACGATTAAAAAGAAACTTTACAAAACTGCTTTGGGGGATTAAGCTCTATTTTAAACGGAAAAGAATATTTAATTTAGTTTGGTCTTTAGTCCGCCTAAATAAGTTTTAGTTTTAAAATTATATTTAATGAAAAGTCGACTATGGCGTGAGCTACAAAGAGACGGCTCGGCACGGAGTGGCGTGCGTGGCGTGCGTGGCGTGCGTGGTGTGCGTGGAGTGCGTTGCGTGCGTGGCGTGCGTGGCGTGCGTAGCGTGCGTGGTTTGCGTGGCGTTCGTGGCGTGCGTGGCGTGCGTGGCGTGCGTGGCGTGCGTGGCGTGCGTGGCGTGCGTGGCGTACGTGGCGTGCGTGGCGCGCGTGGCGTGCGTGGTGTGCGTGGCGTGCGTGCCATGCGTGGCGTGCGTGGTGTACGTGGCGTGCATGGCGTGCGTGGCGTGCGTGGCTTGGGTGGCGTGAGTGGCGTGCGTGGCGTGCGTGGCGTGCGTGGCGTGCGTGGCGCGCGTGGCGTGCGTTGCGTGCGTGGCGTGCGTGGCGTGCGTTGTGTGCGTAGCGTGCGTGCCATGCGTGGCGTGCGTAGTGTGCGTGGCGTGCGTGGCGTGCGTGGCGTGCGTGGCGTGCGTGACGTGCGTGGCGTGCGTGTCGTGCGTGGCGTGCGTGGCGTGCGTGGCGTGCGTTGCGTTCGTGGCGTGCGTGGCGTGCGTGGCTTGCTTGACTTGCGTGGCGAGCGTGGCGTGCGTGGCGTGCGTGGCGTGCGTGGCGTGCGTGGCATGCGTGGCTTGCGTGGCGTGCTTGGCGTGCGTTGCGTGCGTGGCGTGTGTGGCTTGCGTGGCTTGCGTGGCGTGCGTGGCGTGCGTTGCGTGCGTGGCGTGCGTGGCGTGCGTGGCGTGCGTGGCGCGCGTTTCGTGCGTGGCGTGCGTGGCGTGCGTGGCGTGCGTTGCGTGCGCAGCGCGCCCCGGCTCCACGTAGTCTTGTCTGCCCTACCCCTAGAGTGTTTTTGTAAATCCGTAGGCGCGGAGGGAGGGCAGCCCCCGCCCGCCGTAGCAAATCGCAGTCACCCGTGCGAGCCGTAGCGGCTGAGGCTGGTCGCCGAAGGCGTCCAATAAGCCGAAGCTGCGGAGCGTGCGTGGCTTGCGTGTCGTGTGTGGCGTGCGTGACGCGCGTGTCGTGCGTGGCATGCGTGGCGTGCGTGGCGTGCGTAATATAATGTATATATATATATATATATATATATATATATATATATATATATATATATATATATATATATATAACATACACGCAACGCACGCTACGCACGCCACGCACACCACGCACGCCACGCACGCCACGCACGCAACGCACGCCACCCAAGCCACGCACGCCACGTACGCCACTCCGTGCCGAGCCGTCTCTTTGTAGCTCACGCCATAGTCGACTTTTCATTAAATATAATTTTAAAACTAAAACTTATTTAGGCGGACTAAAGACCAAACTAAATTAAATATTCTTTTCCGTTTAAAATAAAGCTTAATCCCCCAAAGCAGTTTTGTAAAGTTTCTTTTTAATCGTATTGGTTTTTATTAATCAGACTCCGCTCCAGCAAATTTGTATAAATCAATGACTTCTAACTTTATTGAACGTTCAGAAGTCTGTAAAAGGTTAAGGAAACGGAAAAATGAAAGTTGTAATTACCTTGATAAAGGAAAGAATATTTCCTTTTAATTTAACAAATAAAGATAAAAAAATAGTTTGGTGGTTTGTGGTCACAGGTGGCCTAACGTTTTCGAAATAATTTTGTTTCGAAAGCTTTAACATCTGAGCTAAAGAAATTTTTAATTATAAATTTGCAAATTTATCACGTAATGATTGTAGTAAGATGCAATAATATACATGAATACATAGGTGGTATCACGTAATGTTACGGTCACTAGTCTGTCATTTACGTAAATAACGTCATGTTTGTTTATTTATTTCGGATTTTACATTAAGAATATTATTTATAGTGCTCTTTACCCATTAATTAACTTTTCACTTCTTTTTTATTTCCCGTTTGTAGATTGTCATATTACAACGATTTTATAGATGTTTCACTTCAAAAATGTCAAGCTCAAGAGTCACACTGTACCTTTCAATTAAAACTAGCTGTACTTAGTAACGCTGATGAGGATAACTTTTGGCTGTGTACGTTTGCCTTCTGATTTAGTAATTTACAATACAATCAATGAATAGTGCTATAAATATTTCATTGCAATTATTTTTTTCTGAAAGCATCATAATATTACCTCGCGCGTTTAAATTTAATAGCGGAGTTACAAGTACCGACATTAAGCGGGTGGAAGTGTTAAAAAGTATTGCGATCAAATTAATCGTTAAATGTTTCAAACATCGTTATTTAGTGGTATAGTGCAATAGTTGTGAGACTATAATAGTTTTTCAAAGTACATTGGTGCTTAGTTCTGATAAAAGTGATCTAAGTTAAGAAAAATTAGCAAAATCATTTTAACTTACCCTTTAACAAAACTTGAAGGACTATTGCAAATCGTACAAGGAGTTCAAAAAATTTCATCGTATCTGCTCAAGGCGTGTTGGTTGAACGGCCTAACGGTGTGCACAACAATTAAAAGTTAAAGCGACGGAGGATCGAGTCCCCTACACTGTAAATTGGAGTTGACGTACTTTTTGTACTTATAATTTGTATAACATTCTCTGCATTTTAACGCTTCATTCAATAATAAAATGGGCGGAAGGTGTGAAGCATGCAGAGCAAATATAAATGTTACTCAAAAACGAATAAAATGCACACAATGTTCGCATAACTACCATTCAGAATTCATAAAATTTAATAATGATACTGCTTCAAGATCTGAATGGAAGTGTCCCGCTTGCACTGCTTCTTGTCGAAAAGGTGGTGATAACAGTAACACTCCGATACGAACTAATAAGTCTACTTCCAACATCGTTTACGATAAAACTACGTATAGACCATCAAACAAAAGTTCTGACCAGCCTTCATGTATCACTGAGACCAGTAGTTGCTAACCATATAATCTGGAATTAATTAATAGCATAGAGTTACTGTTAGACAAAAAACTCAGTGCTATAAAATTCGATATAATTCAAGAGTTGAAATTATCACTTATCACTGAAATAATAAATTAAATAACTAGTAACCTTAAACAGCTGGAAGAATCGCATAACAGTTTGCTAAATGAATACAACAATCTTAAAAGTAATTTTGAAAAACTTCAACAAAATGTCCAGAATGGCGAAATGGAACTGGCGGATTTATGTTCGCAAATAAAAAAAGAACAACAATGGGGTAGACTTTCAAACTTAGAGATTGCTGGTTTACCAGAAAACTCAAAAGAATCAACTTCTGAATTAATAATCAAAATAGCCAGCCATGCAGGAATAAAGCTAACAGATGACCAAATTGTTTTTGCGCACCGAGTTCAGCCTATGCAGAATGTTGGAGGTCGCCCAAAAAACATTGTAGTCAAATTTCAGAATCGCACTATTAAAGATAATATTATTTCAGGGCTCCGCAAAACCAAAGGAATTACTACTTCCGATATTGCACTGGGTGGTCCGTCCAAAAGGTTTTTTGTTAACACCTGACCCCTGAGAATAAGCAGGTCATGAAAATAGTAAAATCACGAGCAATGGCCAAATCATATAAGTTTGTCTGGGTTAGAAACTGCCACATTTTTTTAAGGAAAAACGAGGAGTCTCCCGCTATCACTATAAATTCGGAAAAAGATTTATTAAAAATTGTATGATAAATAAAAAAATAAATGTAAAAAATATAATTGTTACATATTTAACACATAAAACAACACTCACGGTTTATACATCCATTATCACATACATCAAAATCACACACTCACACACATCTTTCAAAATTTACAGTAATACTGAATATTTACACCAATATGCCCTACAAAAGAAATGTATCAGCTACCATTTCTTACCTTGTATAAAAATAAAATTCCTGTCTGTTGCAAAACCATTCCTCATGACTCTTCAACCTGTATTATTTCTGTTACATAATATAATTATTATCTACATTACTATTTATTACTATGATAAATATAATTTTTATAAGTTAATTACAACACAATGGTACCTAAATCATGCTAAAAGTGCCTTATAACTCAATGTACGTATTCTATCAAAACGTCCGTGGCTTGCGAACTAAAACTAGGCAATTTCGAGACAGTATAATTTGTAATAACTTCAACATAATACTCATTACAGAAACTTGGTTGATTGATGGTATTTGCAACGGTGAATTATGTGACAATAGGTACGACATATTTAGGTATGATAGAAATAAAATATCTTTGCATAAAAAGAAGGGTGGCGGGGGGGGTCACGATTTGTACGTATACACAATTACAAGCTCAAGAACGGACGGAATGGATGTGTAGAGATCTCGAATGTGTGTGGGTAACAATACCAGAAAAATATCTAATTTGTCAAGACAGACGTAATTTAAACATTGGAGTTGTTTATATACCGCCTGATAATTATCAATCAAAGCGTTTAGATAAATTTACAGAAATGCTCACAAAAATCACAACTCAATGTCCAAATGATCATTTTATACTGCTGGCCGTATGAGGACGCTCAAGGTCGCTCAGCGAGCGATGGAGAGGGCTATGCTCGGAGTTTCTCTGCGTGATAGACTCAGAAATGAGGATATCCGCAGTAAAACCAGAGTGACCGACATAGCCCAACGGATTAGTAAGCTGAAGTGGCAATGGGCCGGCCATATAGCTCGAAGAACCGATAACCGATGGGGAAGAAAGGTTCTCGAGTGGCAGCCCTCGTACCGGTAGGCGTAGTGTAGGGCGACCCCCCACTAGATGGAGTGACGACCTGGTAAGATATGCAGGAAGTCGATGGATGCAGGTGAAATATCAACCGTAATCAATGCATTATAAGAGTTTATTTCTCGTAACTCAAAATGGATCTAAGTGGAAAGTTCCTACTGAGTTACGTTAATTTAAACCATATTTTTTATTTTTTACCGGTGTAAATAAATTTTGAATTTGGCAACAAGAACTCAAAGCGTCATAACTGTCAGCCATTTTGCAAATCGTGACGAGACGCTAAATAAGTGTGGATGTTAGTTTGGTGCAGAAGAGATTTCACTGATTAACGGGAATATTCAAGGCATAATCAAGGTAATAATAATTACTTAAGTGTTTTTGTGTTATATTTTAGAAAGCTCAAGGTTTAATCTCTAAATATATCATAAAGTTTATGCAAAGACACAAATAATAACCTGTGAAATCATTTTTGTATTATCACTCACATACATTGAGTTACGTCGGCTGAGAAACTTTTCACTCATTGGAATGAATTTGTAACTCAGTGGAAGGTAAAGGCGTGTTCAAATTGTAAATTGACTAGCGACCCACCCGGCTTCGCGCGGGAGCAATTCGGAGTTGTAATTTTATATTGAAACAAAAAATTTATATGTTAGTTACATAGACGTAGTGTAAGGTTGTAAGCCCACATAGCGAACATTCCCCGTTTTTCTTATTTTATACCCGTCGTAACTTCTTGACGAAAGGTCCGATTTTAATAATTTAAAACAAAATGTACATATATGTTCTTACATGATCATCCTTGACTGTGATTTTATGTAAGTATACCCAATAGTTTTTGCAACGCACGTTATGCTTGCTATTTCTCATTTGCACGGTGCCCTCGACACCGAGGTGCGTTATACAAAGTAAGTTTAAAATATTGGTGTTTAAACATAACCAGCAACATAAACATGCATACTGCCATAGGTGTGACATGGACTTTACACCTTTGATTTGCCTGTGTTCACCTTAATACCTTACCGTGTAGTGGCTGTTTTAGAATATCTATTACCCCATATCATGCTGTGGGTGTCGTAAGGGGCGACTGAGGGAAACAAATCGAGAGACGGGTAACAGCGTCTCTCTAATAACGATTAAAATAAAAATAAAAGTGTGGTTACCAACTTGCTTGTCCAGCGTGGCAACTATGGCAAATACACCCTGTGAGGCAATCTGTGGACTTTAGTAGGCTGTAAGGGAAACGGTACCGGTGACTTCAAAACCTGTCTGTTAGAAGACAACATAAAAGTTATCGGAGAAAGGTGTAAGATCCTACACTTAAAAGTCTTACAAGGCATAAGTTTTTTTTTGTGGTAGATGAATCCAACTATCACAAAAATAAAATAAAGAACTACTTGTCTATGGTTGAATTTTTTTGTTCAACAGTAGAGTTGGGATGAGCTGTAATGATGATGATACTATCCGCAAATTCATTTTTACTGATACATTAGACATAATGCTTAAATATCATAGTACATAATAAATGTATGATAAAAGTGGCCAATAAAGCATAATAACATAAAATATTTGATCTATCATCCAACGGATTTGGCATATTGTTACGTAAAATCCCCAGAATGGGGACGAGAAGCAGCTCAAGAGCTGAGAGACAGCTGGTACTGAGTAAGACATGCAGTAAGTCGTTGGATGCAGGTGGCTCAGGACCGTGCTTTGTGGCATACCTTGGGGGAGGCCTATGTTCAGCAGTGAACTTGTGAAGGGCTGTAATGATGATGATGATGATGAAATTTAATAAATAATTAATAAGGACAAGCTATCCAACTGCAGCTCCGAAGTTATTAACCGCAATTAGCAGAGCTAATTTATAGGGCTTGACAGTGCGAGAACATGCATCTATGATATGTTAAAACTTATTTATAGAAGCATGGCGCTGCCCACAGTGCGACGAATTCTTGTCGAACCTTTATTTATTCTGGGTAGACTTCGCGATTGTAAACTGGCTAAATTTTCCACCACGATACCTTATTAAATTCAATACGAACAAATGAAAACCGATTACAACCTCATTTCTAGATCTTTTCATTTCTTTATAGGCTTGTCTTAAACATTTTAACACAGTAGCTTAGACTTGTATCTATACAAGTCTAGAAAAGTAGTCTCTTGTACGTAGCACTCAGCATATCGTACGCGTAGCTCGTAGCTGCAGTACAAATACCAACGGCTCAATATTTCACTTTTATTGACATGCTAGCATAGAAGCACTGCGCTGCTTCAAATCTACACAGTTCGTTCGCCCTGAAAAACATCACCTATATTCAAAAGTTGAGTTTGCTCTTGTATCTAACGTCCTACATTATTTGTTATAGTTTAGTATTTGATACGTAATAGGCTCGTAGTTACTTACTGAACTAAAAATTCACTAGAACACACAACATTACAATCTAAAATCAAAGGAATATTTCCAATCTAAACCTACATATTATTGATTGTAATTCGTAAACGTAGTATTATCAATATCTCGCCCCATCCGAATCATACGAATATTCTCCAGCTGCCAACGTTATCTGCGATTCGATCATAAAATTGAAAATCCTTGATAACATCCGTAGTTGTTCAAATAGATGGTTCAGTAAAATTGTCGAATTGCTGAGTGATATTTTACAACAAAGTTTCTACGCATTTTTTTCCAAATACTACACTAATTGAAATATGTAATAAATCAGTTTGATAGAACTTTTTAAACAGAAATTTTAAGTCAGTTGTTATAATTCAATTGTCACGGTTGACGGAGTTTACTAATGAAAACATATTTGATAAAGTTTATTGTTTTTACTGAACGATTACTTCTGCTTATTCATTTTTATATGTGATTAGCAAATAATTGTAATAAAATATTAAAAGAAATAGAAAACATAATTATTTCGATCTCTCCAATATTCTATTGCTATTCTGAGCTCTGCAAAATAACCACTTATATAGTTTTTGTTTTGTATATAATACAATAAGTACCTAATAATAGGAAAAAATATACATATATGGTCGTAAATTATGAACTGTGTTGTGGCAAAGTGAGAATATCCACTATCCCACAAAATCCCGTGGGGGTCGTGAGGGGCGGTGAGGTAAACAAATGAGGATAAGGGCAGTAGGGCTTCTATTAAGCAATAAAATTAAAATAATGTGGTTGCCATTCCATATGCCAAGCGTGTTGGCAAATATGGGCGATTTTGCCATAGCTGCCTATGTGACAATCTCTGAGGGGGGCCCATGTTCCGCAGTGGACTTTAATAGGCTATACCGATAAATTATCAATGTATTTATTTAGGATTAATCAAGTATATTAGGATAGTACCGTCCATTCATACAATATTATAATATTACATTTTAACTCAGATTTTTCATAAAACTATTTGTTATAAAGGTACAATCATAAATAAAAAAGATGGATCATCTTTTACCAAATACGAAAGGAATGGTTTGAGGTTCTGTTCCTATTAATTTTTACGACTGAACTTGAAGTGAATTAATAATCAATTTCATTTCCGAACCGTTGCGGCGGTATACGCACGTGTTTGTATGCAAACAAGTCAAACTATGCGCATAAATTGAGCCTCAAAATGACTAAGCATCGAGAAGG